GTGTGAAAAAGCCATAACCTCCTCTCGGGACCTCAGAACCCGGAGGAAAGCACAGAGTCCCCAGAACCAGGGTGGAGGTGGGAGGCTGAGCCAGGTAGGGAAATGTTGCCGAGAGTGGGCAGGCACCAGAGATGGGACCAGGAAGGAAGCAAGGACCAAGGAAGCCAGGATCAGTATCCAGGAGCAGAGTGGCTGGCCCGGGCCGGGCCCCGGGGAGGCCCCAGCAGGGATCCAGGAATGTGCCAAGAGCCCCACTGGCCTCTGCCAGGTGGGCCTGTATATAGGGTCCGTGTGCAATAGGGAGGGTTGTCTTCTATTTTTGCTGCCTCCTTCCCACCCATTGTCTGGGGAGGGGGAGAAGGTATTTTTGAGACAAAGCACAGGCACCACAAATAAAGTCCTGACATTGCCTCTGTGTGACTTGTCTCCCCCTGGGTGTGGGGCACTGGTTCCTGCTTGTATACTCAGCCTGTGTATCTGACTGAAACCGCTCATCCATTTGGATGAGGGCCAGTGGGTGGCTGGGAGCTTGCTCACAGGTGCAGGGAGGGGAGCTTGCTGGAGTGAGCAGCAGGAGAGAAAGAGCCCCAGGTGAGGTAGGGGGGGTCAGAAGGAAGCCTGTGACCTGATCCGGGTGCTCACATTGACCCTCAGTGCTTTGGAAGTGAGCGGAGTCAGTGGCTTAACATTGAAAAGGTAGGATGGCCAACATAGGAAACCGCAAGTCTAGGTTTTCTGGGAAAGGAGTAGGTGATGGTAAGTAGTCCTTCGTGGCCACAGTGACTGGGGCAGAGCCAGGAATCAGTCTTGAGATGGATCGCGTGGTGCCTCCTCCATCCTGACAGTCAGGAATGGGCTGTTCTGCCAGCTGGCGTCACAGGAGTGAACAGCTTGGTCCAGCAGCCAGTACACTGAGGAAGGTTGCCACTGTGTGGATTTCAGCTACAGTGCTGTGGAGAAGGGGAGAGTGCGGAGTGTGTGTGTGTGTGTGTGTGTGTGTGTGCGCGCGCGCGCGTGTGTGTGTGTGTGTGTGTGTGTGTGGTGTGCCATGCTGTCTGAGGTGAACTGTGTATATGTGGTGTGTGGTATGGCTGGTGTGGGTTATAGGGTGTGTGGGGTATGAGGTATGTGTGTGTGTTTGTGTGTGCGCATGCACAGTGTATTGGGCATGTGTGTGGTGTGTGTGTATCTGGTGTGTATATATATGTGCGTGTGTGGTGTTTATGACAGTCAAAAGTAGGCCCCATGACAAGCTGCACAGACAGATGCTAGAAGGTGACGGTGAGCCCTGTATCTGAAGGAAGCACCTTTTGCATGATGATGAGAACCGTGTGCAGCGTGGGGTAGAGCAGGCCTGGCGTGCTGTGGCGCTGAGGTGATGGCTTTGTGTGTGATCATGGCTCTGTTAAGAACTTGAGCTCCACCTGAGCTGGGAGGCCTGACCACCAGGTTACCATCCGGCTTGAGCTCTGACAGGTGCCCCTGGCTGGATGTAGACTTGGGGAGTGATGGATGGACAAAGTGATCGACAGAGGGTCAAGTCAGGATGAAAAGGTCAGACTCCAAACCACAGAGAGCCAGCCACAGGCACCTGATCACCTGATGTCCCAGCAAGCCAGATGGCTCCTGCTGGCATTTCAGTCTGTAGTCTGGGACCTCACTGCCGGAATCAAAACAGCTTGGGCAACTGCTTGTACTTTTGGTTTCTCGATTAGAAAAGAGGGTGGCAGCAGGGCGCCTGCCACTCTCCCCACATGCAGGAAACTGAAACTGGAGGACCGAGAG